GAGAGAGGAAGAGAGAAGGAGAAGAGAGAGACAGAGAGAGAGAGAGGAGGGGACAGAGAGAGAGAGAGAGGGAGAGCGCGAAAGCATGAGTGAGGGATGGATCATACGAGACACAGATAGAGAGAACACAACGAACCTTAACCTTGCGTGGACCCATGGAGCTGCTTGAGCCGCGGCTATTCTTTTTCGGAGTCAGGTAGTTCCTGACCCTGTCGAGCCTCTTCTCGAGGCTGCCGAACAGGTTCTTGCTGCCGGACGCCGGGGTTTTGCGCGACTTGTCCGACTTGGACGGCGTCGTCGGGCAAGATTTCGGCAGGTCCTGCGAAACGAGAGAAGTGCAGACGAGATGTAAACCTATGACCTGTGCTTGCGTTCACTAGATGAAGAGTTGGGGAGAAAGAGAGATATACGGAAAGAGAGAGGGATAATGGAGAAAAGGAGGGAGGGAGAGGAGGGAGAGATAGGTGAGACGTACATCCGCCTCGAAGAGCGATGAGCGAAGAGAGAGAGATGATGAGACGAGAGAGAGAGAGAGAGAGAGAGAGAGGAGAAGGACGATTGAGAGTAGGAGACGAGAGAGAGAGATCGAGAGAGAGAGAGAAGATGAGAGGGAAGAGAAGAGATGACGAAGAGAGAGATGAGAGTCAGAGAGAGAGGGACTAGAGATGAGAGCGAGAGATCAGAGAGAGAGAGAGAGAAGGTAGTCTGAACGTGAAAGCTTCTTCGTATCCTCAATAGGTGACGTTGCCGGGTACATGGAATCCAGCTGGCCGTCGACGGAGCGCGAATGCACAACTTTACTTTTCGTAGGAGCTGGAACACAGAAACAACATCAGGCAACATTCAACATCAGGCAACATTTAACATCAGGCAACATTAGGCAACATTTAACATCAGGCAACATTAGGCAACATTTAACATTAGGCAACATTTAACATCAGGCAACACTAGGAAACATTAGGCAACATTAGCAATTGCCAAACGGATAAAAATCATTAGTGAGCAATACAAATTAAATCCAAACTAGACTAAAGATGTTCAACTTGAATAATTATATTAGAAGGCATTTGTTATTACTACTATTATTACCTATACTCCTATTACCTATTTTTGTTATTATTATAATCCTATCGTTTACAATTTTTTATTTCCAAAGCACAGCAGCTGGTAAACAGGTTTAAGAGGTAGAGGCATGTACTTCTTCTCGTTCTTCTACTTCTATTTACTATTATGATTATTATCATAAGGCCAAAACAAAATATAGGTGTGGTTACGGTTTCCCGACCGACCCTATTTATTCCCAGCGACCCTAAACATTTTAATTGTAAATTTTCCTTAAAGTAAACAAAAAAACAAAAAAACAAATGAATTGGACAGTTTCTGCTTCAAAAGGCCCCCGCACATCCTTCGGACATGGTTCATAAATAAAATATTTCAAGAAAATAAAATGTTTTCCCTACCTACCTACCCTATTTTTTTTCGGCATATAACGGTAACCACACATATATTTTGTTTTGGTATTATTATTATTATTATTATTATTATTATAACTACTAATACTTACTGCAGCTCGTGAACAGGTCTATGACGGGCGGTGTTCTGTACTTCTTACTCGAGCGTTTCGGTGTCGGTATCTTCGGGATCGCAAAGTTCTCCTTGTCTTCGAAGCGGTCCGGTCGCCGCTTGTACACCTGTGGGCTGCGCCGTGGGGGCGCCACCGTCACCTCCGTCGTCGGAGTCATCTTCTCCGTCGTCTCCTTCTGGAATGCGGTCGTCACGGCAACGGCAGCTGCGCGTTCGTTCTTAGACGACTTCTGCTGAGGGGTCGCCACCGTAGCCGTCAGCGGCGTTGACGGTCGCCTGTCCCCACCAGAGGGCGTGGACGGCTGCTGGCTGTCTGGCGTGGATGGTTTCCCGTCGCTGGCAGGTGGCGCTGACGGCTGGCCGGACGGCGTCGGTTGGTTGCCAGCAGAGGGCGCTGCCTGCTGCGATTGTCGCTGCGGCACGCGCGGCGTCGTCCGCTCAACATTCTCGTCGGAGACGTTCACTTGTCGGCCGCCACCAGAGGTCAGGGTGATCACCATCTTCTCTCGGTGGGCGACCTCGGCCTCGCGCACGGTGACCTTGACCGGGTCGCGACCCTCGCCGGCGGCGCCCTCTGTGTTTTCGCCGCCGCGGAACACCTCCTCCGCGCCCCAACTGTCCGCGAACTTGGCGCATCCAAAGTCGTAGTCGTCCAGGTTGTCGAGAGAGGAGCAGAGGGAGGAGTTTGCAAGCGTGTACTCCTGGTCGAAGCTCGAGCTGCGCGTGTTGTCATGGTTACCGCCGGTCTGCTGCTGCTGCTGCTGCTGCACGAGAAAGAAACGATGAGAATATATATAGTTGATACGCAACATGACATGCAAGGTTATTAAATCTGAAAAAATCAATGTACCGTGAGTGAGTGCTGAGTGAGTGAGTGAGTGAGTGAGTGAGTGAGTGAGTGAGTGAGTGCGAGGGAGTGACAGCTCCCTCCCAGGCCATCCCCATCCATCCTCATAAACAGCATGCCCTCTGATGAATTCTTAGGGACAACCGTGTGCTATATGCTATATATAAATATACATACATATATAACTGGCAGAATCTCGTAAAATACGTTAATGACTACGTCACGAATTTTCTATGGTATAAATTTGTAAAATTTTTGTTACCAATTTGTTTACATTGAAAAGTAAAGAACTAACGGGACTAACGTATCGTCAAATTTTACTTGATAAGATTGTTTCTCGAACTAAGTTTAAAATCCAAAAACCTGCGACAATTTGATATAGTGTTCGCTGACATTAATTGCCTTGCTATGGGCTGTGTATGCGTCAGCAGTGTATAGTCTTCACATCGAACAATATAGTTAAAATAAGAAGTATACATGCAGCAATTTAACTTAAAAAGTGACACAGAATTACGTTATATTTTGTGAAAAAGTGGAAATATTCTTTTTTTTTTACTATTTACAGTGACGTAATAACGTTAACGATTGAGAACAGCCTTTAAAGAGTTCCGTGACAAAGCCTTGTTGATCACATTTCCCTTCACAGTACGGGGGGGGGGGGGGGTAACATACCATGATCTCCCGTAGCGGTATCGGAGGTGCGAGAAGACGGAACGGCTTGTTGTGTTGTTTTCTCGACATCAGTAGCAGATAGGTGGCAGTCAAGTAGTCGTAATCCCACTGGAGACACCATTCAAAACAGCAATTTAATATATTGGAAAGGAATTCCTATAATTAAGGGCTTAAGGACTTAATTAAGATATTTTAATGCCTCCACAAATGCCAGTTATGCATGTGCAGGTGTTTCGTACATGGTAGATTTTGCTCTCTCTCTCTGATTTACATATATATACGCACACCCTTACCCGTAAAATCTTTGCTGTCATCTCTGCCTTGGTTATTCCATAATGCACCGAGAGTTTCATCGCAATCTCAGGATCAACATAATCCATCTAGAGAACATACGTAGTGAACGTTCGTTAGAGAACATACGTAGTGAACGTTCATTAGAGAACATCCATATAGTGAACGTTCATTAGAGAACATCCATAGTGAACATTCATTAGAGAACATCCATAGTGAACAGTCGTTAGAGAACATCCATAGTGAACAGTCGTTAGAGAACATCCATAGTGAACGTTCGTTAGAGAACATACGTAGTGAACGTTCGTTAGAGAACATACGTAGTGAACGTTCGTTAGAGAACATACGTAGTGAACGTTCGTTAGAGCATATAGTGAACGTTCATTAGAGAACATCCATAGTGAACAGTCGTTAGAGAACATCCATAGTGAACGTTCGTTAGAGAACATACGTAGTGAACGTTCGTTAGAGAACATACGTAGTGAACGTTCGTTAGAGCATATAGTGAACGTTCGTTAGAGAA